AGAAAAGGGAAAATAATAATGGTAATGATAGAATATACAAAACAAGTGATGCACAATGCAATTGCTCACGACCCACGCTGACCGATAACCAAGTAGCGCTCGGTACTTCCTGGATCACGCCTACCATTCATATACTGAGCATGATGTCACATGGTATGGAATACCCCATTAGCCAGCTGGGCTGGCTGTCCTGATTATGTTCCCTCCCATCTTGTGTACCTAGCTCAGTCAGTAGGCATGGGAGCTGTCCTTGGACTAGGAGGGCACTTAGCAACAACTGAAAACATCAGTGTGTTATCAACATTCTCCTCATACCAAATCCAAAACACAGCACTAGGAAGAAATTTAACCATATCCCAGCTGAAACCAGGACACCAAAATAACCTAAAAATACCATGTTAAAACTAATACGGAAGTGGACTTTGTGTGTTTTTCTTGTATAGGTTTTATTTCTATTAACTGCAATGGCACATGAAAATGGTCAAGGAATAACCCTTAAAATGAAAAAGAAAATCTTTAAAGCAATGACAAGTCAGAAAATTTAAATAGTTAATTATAGAAATATACTTTAAGTTATTTACATTGTGCAGGGAACCATTCTTTATAGAATTGTTTGGAGCTATTTAGCTTCACATTTTTCTACATTTTAATGTAAATATGTTTGTAACTGGTAAGTTAATTCATAATGTAGGCAGGTTTTGGGAAAGCAATATCATTGAGAACAGGTTGGAATCTACGACCTTTAGAAATTCAGTCATATTTGCTAGCATGTCATCAGATACTGGCATCTGGAAAAGGATGAGCTAGTCAACTATTAACAAGCAGCATTTATGTAGTACTGAATAATATCGCTTTCATCACTTGCTGAGGTTTATGGAATTTAGTAGGTATGTGGTTGGCTAAGTAGTTGAGACAGGAGAGAAGTAAATATTTTGAAGTTATTTATATCCTTTAGAAGATGCTTAAATGCTAACAATTAAAACACATAAGGTTGACTGAAGGTATTTATTTGCCACATAGCATTATGACTAATGTGGTACAAACAAAGGAAATTCTGCCTACCTTTGGAAGAGATGCTCGTGAACCTGAGCTTTGTGTTGTCATGGTCAGTACAGTTGTTATGCCTAAAGCCACTCTGGCTGGAGCTGCATCCATATTGATCCAAAATGACACCCAGGAGAGAATGACGATCAAGAGGCTCGGTATGTACATCTGGATGAGATAGTAACCCATCTGCCTCTCAAGGTGAAATCGGACTTCAATACATGTAAACTTTCCTTTTTGTAACAAAGAAGAAATATTCAATAGAAATAGAATGTTCTTTAATGTCAACATCTAGTGCACCCTCTAAAGAATTTACACTCCGTCAAATATATTTATTATCTCATGAAAGATGAATGTTTTGATTTCTCTTCAGTGATTTTTAATATGTAAGGTCCCCATTATAACAGGATTATCTACTGGAAAGACAGCAGAGAGAAAACTGAAACTTTAAGAATTCGATAAGCTCTGGAACTCTTCTTTCCTTATAAAGAGATGACCGAAACACAAATCATTATGACATAGGAAAGTTCCTCTGTGTGATCACACTTGTTATCCCACTTAGTGTTTAGAAATAGTGCAGTATGCAAAGAAAAGGTTTGCTCTCCCATTGTATGAAGTCTCCTTTACCTTTTGGTTCAATTTTAAGCTTAAATTTCTTTTTTTTTTAATCCAACGAATTTGGAAAAAATGTAGTAAGATCAGTGTGGGTGATCAATAGGAGATTTTGCTAAATCTCTCCCTTTACCCCCCTTCAAACTGTTCCAACTCAAAAGTATAATGTAATAGACTTATTTATGATCTTATCCTATACTAATTTAATGTATTGTGTATTATGCTGTGACAATAGTGTTAGGCACACAGAAATGAGTTTCAGATAAAGTCAAACTGTAATGTTTTTATTCTAGGTGTATTAAGTGCTTGGAAATATCTTCTGAACTTTGTTATTTTCATAACAGTTCTATTAACAGGCCACCAGTTCTTTCTACGATGTCATAGTAAATGTGATTGTATGACATTTTTATTCTACTGAGGAACTAAAAAAAACATATTTAGAAAGACGGTAGTTATGATGTTCAATTTTAAAATGACATGATCTATCTCAGGAGTTTTATATCTGCCAGCTCAGTTCCATTCCTAATTGCCAGTGCTTTCCGAATCCTACCTACACTCCTGAAATGTGTTCCAAATCCTGGCTTAAGCATCTGCTGCCCCAGCTTCAAAACTGATTTCTGCTTCAATCAAGGAATTAAGTCCTGGTTTAACAAAGTGAATGGGAATTTTGGTGTTTTCTTCAGAGAAGGCCAGGATTTCCCCCCACGTTTCTCTTCCAGTATCTTCAAAAGGATATTTACATATGATACATTCTTTTACTTACTTAGCAGTTCAGCACACCCCACATAACTAGAAGTTCTGCTCTGACTGGCCTTTGTCGGAATCATATTCTTACTTCAAGCTGGTCCTTACCCTGAAGATTTCTTTTTTGTGACATTTGTTCTGTTAATTCAGCAGCCTTGGACAGCAGCAGTCCCTCTCTCTCTCATACATCACAGTAAATCATGGTGGTAAGGAGTGACAGAAATGCATCAACCAAATCTAGGTCTCTTGCAAAGCCATTTTATTTGGCATCGTATCAGCAAGAATTACAGTTCAACATGCAACATTTTCTTCTTATAGGGTCCTATATTCTTCTTTCAAAACAAATTAGGAAGAAAAACTAAGCAGCGTCAGAATGGGTAATATATGCTTAATTGGAGTGCCAATAAACATTGGCTATTGCTTGTGCAATGTTTTTTTTCTCTAGAGAAAGGTGGGATAAGAGTCTCTTTCCTGAGTACTCAAGTGGGCTTGAACTATTACAGAGATCTCAGCACAAAAATACTGTGGTCCTAAACAAGGAGCAATAAATAATATATTAGCTCTGATGTGGTTTATTTTTATGTAGTGGAAAGTTTGCCAGGTTTGAACTAAGGAGAAAGAGACTGTGGACAGTCTCTTCCAGCTGTGGACAACAGAACCCTAACAAAATGAAAGAGATTCTGAATGAAAGGAGTGCAAATGGAATATATTGTAACCACAGAAAAGGAGAGAAAAGAGACGGGGTTATGAAGAGGCCAGAACTGGGACTGAGTGATGTGTCAGAGGAATTACACTGAATGATTTCTTTGCTTGGTTTTGTATTTTTGTAAACATCATTGGCCAAGGTAAAAAAAACAAAACCAAAAACAAACCAAAAACAAAACAAAAAAATGAAAAAAAGAAAGTGAAGTGTGTCTCAAAGTGGAAAAATATCTTTGCTTAACTCCACAGAATGTGTGACTTAGAGTCCTGTTTTTGTCTTAGGCCCAGGGAGTTTATGGACATGCCAGTCATATGTCCACTGCTTCCCAGTCAAGACCACTCTGTTCCTCATTTGCTCTGTTCCAGTGCAGCACTGAAAAATTAGCTTAATATGGGGCAACTCCCCGGGGAGACTGGTGGCTACCCAGGTAGACACTTCTCTCTGTTACTGCACTGCTGACTATTGGCTTTCTCACCAGTGGAAGACAGCAGAGGAGAAAGGCAGCAGCTGGAAGTCAGTCTTGGCACTGCAGTTGCAGCAGTTGCTGGTCTAAGTGTGGAAGGGTTGATGTTAGTTTTTGCCCTTCCTGGCTGAGATCAGAACCACCTGCATAAACTTGACTAATGAAGCAGAATGGAAAAAAAAAAAACGTTTGCACTAGCAGATGTGAGCTTCAGCTAGGAGGCAGCCAGCAGAGGCTGTGCTGTTGTTTCCCAGCTGAAGCCAGCATCCAGCTGTTGGCCTCCTTTCTCTTCCTGTATTCCATTCCAAATTCAAAGCCAGGTTAGCTGTGATTTAATCTATTTGACTGGATGCTTGAATGGATCAGAAGAGACATACCCATTAAGTCATCTCAGCTGGGGAAGGAGGTAGACAAGCAGCTAAGAGCATTGCTCTGATAATTGATTCGCAGCACATGTGGGATAAGCTCGCGTTCATTCTGATATGCACTGTAAACGTCACGGAGAGTGGCTAGGAGGAGTATACGAAACCTTTGTGGTGATGTGGTTTTGCTGACATTGAGTAACAAATTAAGGCACGATGCTAGTTTCAGACCATAGCTAAATATAGACGTGCACACAATCCATGCAATGGACAGATTTTTTTAATGCAAAAGAAAGAACAGCTATTGAGGGCTTCCTAAAGGATACGCATTTTTTCCTGAAACGGAGGTAAACTTCTTTGTGTTTGTAAGTCTAGCCTAACCAGGGATTCAAGTGTGATAAAGGCACCACAAGTGTTGCTTTGCTGAATGCTGTACCTATGCACATGAAGTGAACATACTGGTATATATACATGTGATGGTGTATTTTTCTCTCTTACACAAGTTCTTTGGTAACAATATCAGATCTGGCATGATTTTAATGCCATGTCCACACTGAAACCAATATTCTAGTGGAAAAATATATATTCCAGTCAGTCTATATGATTTTTCTTTCCCCCGGAAAGTATAAGTGGCTTTTCTTGGGGGTCAGTGTCTAGGTCACATAATCTTTTTCTGGTTGTTGCTGCTGTGGCCAACTGTGGGTAACAACAGAAGAGCAATTTTCTACCTTAGCACTCCTTCACACTGCACAGCCTCCTTGGACCATGGCAGGTGTTGTTTAACCAGTGGGTTATGCAGGCAGCAGTATGTCTATGTGATTAAAAGGCACTGCCAGCACTGTGGAATGTACAAGGGAAATCAAGCATAAGTAGTAGCTTTCAGTCCATACGGAGTCCTTCTTTTCAGTTTCATCTGCCTCAAACTGCTCCAGAGGCATAGTTCGTAGAACTTAAATGTATTTGCAACCCTTTTTAGCAACCCTTAAGATATCCCTTAGGGATAGCTCTTCTTACTGTACCCTTACAATATCATGGTCACATTTGCAATTCCCAGGAAGGCTGAGTAGCTGTTTCTGAAGCTACACAGAAAGTTTTCATAATGGAGAATCACCTTAGGAAACTAAGCCAAGGAAATAGTGTGCCTGAAAAATAATTAATAAAGATAAGCGAATAATAATTATTAAATAACTATGAAATTAAAAATTAATAACAAAATATAAAATGAATAAGTATAAACAAAAAAAAGGAACTAAACATGCAGAGATTCAACTGTTAGTCCATGCAGAATGGAGAGATATCTACTGAAGGTGCTAGTTCTTGATACTACTTTAGATACTAGTAAGTCATAATCTGGCTTTCCTTATAAGAAAAGCCATTGATAACACTAATATCTTGTCTATTGTGAAATATTTTATAGATGTAGAGAAGACTGTGGCCTAAAGAATATATAGCTTAATGAAATTACATTAAACTATTTACTGAAGGATTTTATACTTGCTGAATAGAGAACGGTTCAAAGCTTAGCAAAATTGAACTAAACTAAGTTGAGCAAATCTGAATAAATCTTTATGAAGCCCTGCAGAGTATGCGTCTTAGATCTGGGAAGCGGATATTTTATATTCTGACTCCAACACATCTGTAAATATGTATGTAGACTACACAATTCTGTTTTTACCAGTGACTGATGACCAACAAACAGCCAGCCCAAGGGCCAGGATATTGCTAGCTATGGAAATTTGCTAACAGATTCCTGGGGCAATTGAACTGTGATGATGGTCCTCTGCTCTAGCACTGCATTTTCCCCCTTGAAAAACAGCTAGAGACACAGGTTTAACATGAGGTTAAGTACTGAGAGACAGCAGGAAAGGAGAAGGGAAGAGTGAGACTTCTTCAGTGGATAGGATATGCTCAGCCTAAATGGCTGACTTAGATTTAGATCCCTTAATACAATATAGAGCTTCTCCCATTTGTCTGTCTTCTGGAAATCCCTTTCTTAAGCAGCTCAAGTCCTCTACTCCCCATAAACATCCTAAGCATTCAAGATCAATCTGAGCTTGAAAATTGTGTTAGACAGAGTATTTATTTCTAGGTGCTATTCTGAACCTCTGCAGTGTTTACCATTTTTAGACTTGTAAAAATCACAGTTCCTCATTTTATGTGGGAAAGACAACATATTGCAAAAGCCAGCTGGCACACTTTTCTCTACAGAGAGAAAAGTAAAGACAGTCCTCTCTTCTAGAAGCCAAAGTTAAAGACTTCTTGTAAGACAAAACAACAGGTGGACTCAAGAAACAGGGAGACAGGAGAAAGGAATAGAAAATGCAGTACAGATTACTGTGGTGAATATAG